ATATATATATATATATATATATATATATATATATATAAATTAAATAATTAAGTAATTTATTTTTGTGCTTACAGATACACGATCCTGCAAAAAATTGCAGCTGATTTTTGGAGGGGTCGTTGCCATAGCAGCAATATTACTGGTGACCACAGTCACCTTATCCTTTATCCTATTTGGTAAGTAGAATTATAAATTATAAATATTTAAGCGTTGTGTTAGTTAAAGGAGTTAAAGGAGCAATAAGTAAGACATTTACTGTGAAATTAACCACAATAATTTTCATTTGTCACCAGAGAGGGAAGTGACATGCTATGGGTTTTATGTGTCGTTATAACTTTAAAGACTATGTGTGATTATTACTTATTCCTTTAAAATGTTCTTAAATTCAATGTAAGTGTTGTTGTTGTAAAAATCGAACTTAACCCCTCCCCTGCTTCAACATTGCTATTGGCTACATCTCAAACCAACCTTGGTACCTTTGATTACTTTCTTAGTGTCTTAGTATATTCTGAAATAGAATCCCTTCACCTTCATCGATCAATTTTCCCTCACACTTATCCCTGCTGGAGTCATGAGGGGTGCTGGTGCCTATCTCCAGCTGTCTACGGGTGAGAGACGGGGTACACTCTGGACAGGTCACCAGTCCATCGCAGGGCAACACAGAGACAAACAACCATTCACACACGCACACACACACCTAAAATGAATTTAGAGAAGCCAATTAACCTAATAGTCATGTTTTTGGACTGTGGGAGGAAGTCAGAGTACCCAGAGAGAACCCATGCATGCTCCGGGAGAACATGCAAACTCTACACAAAAAGACACCCGGGCAGGGAATCAAACCTAGAACCTTCTTGCTGCAAGGCACAGTGCTACCCACTGTGCAGCTCAGAATCCCTTTCCTTCATCAGTAGATAACATTTGGATGGCTTCTTTATTTAGACAACAACAGGCATTGGTAATAATGTACTTTTGATCAATTACCTTGGCCTTCTTCATATGAAACAGAAAGAATTAACATGTAGTCCTGGTTGTTTATTACAGCTTAGGGTGTGTGAATACTTCTCACTCCTCACCCCCATCACAGTAGCTCTTACAGGCAACAGAAAGCTCCTTTGCTTGTTTCTTAAAAAGAGACGGACCTACCCTTTTTTCTCCATCTTATTGATGTGACACCTCCCTCCCTCTTTTGCTCCAGACAGTCAGCTAAAGAGCTAGATGTTAATACTTTTTCTTTAATTCTGTTGTAAACCATCTGGTTGGTTTACTTCAGTGTTCTGCTTGTAGGCTCATGCAAAACAACACAGTTCCTCCTTCTTTCAAAAACAACAGCATAGAATCATTAAGGTTGGTGCTAAAAAGCTTTGCAAGCCAGTGAAGGGTAGCTTTTAGTGTTAAGTGCCCACACCCTTACCGAAAGCAGCACTGTGCAAAATGCAGATTAGTAAGTTGATATTTTTACATCTGAAACTACAGGCGCAACAAAAAACAAAAATAAAAGTTTAAAAATAATAATAAAAAAATCTGTGGTAAACTCTAAGTGCTCCTAAAAAGATTTAGCTTATAGATAGTTATAGTTGAACCAATATTATATTTGGTGATTTAGTGCTATATAAATACTAAATGAAGCTGAACTGAATTTGTAGAGGAAAATAATAATTATTATAAAAACAATCTGTCATTCCATCAAATAATTTAGTAAATTAGTAAAATGCATTGCCAAAATTCAATCATTTATTTTAAATAATAGGAAAATACAAGATTGTGCAGATAATACAATTAAAAAAGGTTATAAATGCATGCGTTGAAGAACTCCATCTGTTACTGCTTCTGTAAAGGAGAACATAAAAAGAGTTTAGGTTTTGTAAAGTATTCACACTCATATCCCAGCCAGGTGGAAAACACCAGAAGAGAATCAAATATTTCTAAATAAGCTGTTGGAAAACCTGCAGCAGTGTCAAAGAAGGAGCCGTGACCTGAAAAAGATGCTGCACTCTGCCACGCAAGGTGAGTTTACAATCGTTGTCCTGTTCAAATTTGAGAAAACCATGATACACAAAAGTAAATACATCAAATATCAACATTACTCTGCATTCGGTGACTGTACTCTGTGGTTACATCTGCGGTTCTGTCTGTGTCTTTCCTGTCTTCAGACTCCAGGTGTGGTTTGTGTCCTGAAAGCTGGCTGTGGTGGAGAAATCACTGCTACTTTTTCTCTGTCGGCCTCCAAGATGACCGGCAGTGGAACGAGAGCGATCAGTTCTGCCAGCAACACAACAGCAGTCTGGTTGTAATCGAAGACTCTGCAGAGATGGTAACTGAAGCATTTGAAGATGCCTCATATATTATAAAGAAAATCAGTCAAGTTTATATAGAAACCAGGGTAACAGATATTCACTTAAAAAAGAATTTAAGAACTGTCTGCTGGTCATTCTCCAAATATTTCCTTCCCTTTTAACATTTCTTGCCTTTAACTGAGACTTTGCACAGGATTGTCAGCAATGTTTTCTTTTTTTGCCTGACATTAAACTTTTGCCTAAAATGCAGGATTTTCTCCAAGAAATTATGAGCGAGTGCACAAAATTTCCTTTCCTGTGGGTCGGACTAACAGACAGCAAAAAGGAGGGACTCTGGCTGTGGTTGAACGGTGGAAAGGCTCAGCACAGTCCGCTGTAAGTCTGAGGCTCTTCTTAAATCAAATTGTTATCTGATTCATATTCATTTAAATATATTTTAGCAGCAGCACAACATCACTCTAAATTCCACTCAGGTCCTCCACTCTTAAACTTTCAAGTATTCTATTAATAGAAAATGTTTTTTTTGGTATTTGAGACTATTATAAAACACATCATGGGGAAGTATTTTTATATAAATAAATGCAGCAAGACAGGCAGGAAGGGTTTTTTTTTTTTTACTAAAAAGAGAAATGAAATTCATGACAAACTAAAAATCAATAATTGTGGAGTATGCATAGAAGGCACGTGATACAATGGTTTCATTTCCTTAACAAGTCTTTTAATAACTGCAAATAGAGATGCTGCATTGAAAACCCAATAGAAAAATACTTGTTCAGCTGATTCTTACAATTATGTTCTTGATGTTCATATTCGATCTGTCCTTGCAGGGCTGCAGATCTGTTAAGGAATACTGTTACTTTATTACTCATATGATTTACATGCAAAGACTATGGGGTGTCGTCCAGAGGCCATCCCACACTGGAAAAAATCCAAATCTAGATAAGTCATTTTTTCTTAAAATAAGTGCATTTGTTCTTGGATTGAGGAGGTAAGGGAGGCATTTTGCCAATGGAACAAGACAACTTAAAATTAGAAAACACAATTGCATTGTCTTATTTCAAGTGCATATTATCTAAATATCTTAAGTGTAAAATTGCTCATTTCGTTGGCAAACCATCTCATTTACCTGCTCAAATTAAGGGTAAATACACTTAATTACATTAAGTTTTTTTAGATTGTTTTTGCAGTGCATATAGCTTTAATATAAAAGAGTTAAACTCCAAAGGTTTAAAAGAAAAGCTGGGAGAATGAAATAGAATGAAATATTATGTACAAAGAAAAGTAAATGAGCTCTGATCATTAATACTTCATAAAAAACATTTTTTTATAAAATATGGTGACACAGTTTATGAATTCCCAAATTCACTATAAATGCCTGCCGACAAAAAATATTCAATTGCATATTCTATTACTTGCAGTTTTGACCACAGCCATAAAAATTCTTTATGTTCACTTCCAGCCTCTACGAATGGCAGCGGGAAATCCCCCACAGACTTTCAGTGGGGATTCCCAGCGCCACTTTCCTGGAGGTCTGGCGCTCCAAACAAGAATCTGATATTTTAGTAAGATCATAATTGTGATGAACTGGCTGCACAGATGATGTTTTGAAGTGTACTTTCTCACTTAAAAATGTGTTAAAACTATTTCAGCGACACATCAAAGTAAGCCACACCAAGCTGCTCCCTAGCACATAAACAACCAGAGAACATCAAAGCATCTTGACCAGTGCTTGATGCCACGTCTAAATTTCGCCGTTCAAGCATCTTTAACGCCTGAAATGTGTTCTGTGTGAAAACACCCATAGAGTTTGTGTATAATTTAGACTCTTTGTTACAGATCTGTTATCATGAGGAAACCAGAAGACAAAATCGCACTAATGCTCTATTGCCAGGGATTTATCCATCCATCCATTTTTTGTCACGCTTATTCCAAGCGGGTCATCGCAAGGCAACACAGAGACAAACAGGGCAAACAACTATTAATGCACACACTCATGTTTTTGGACTGTGGTAGGAAGCCGGGGTACCTGGAGCGAACCCTTGCATGCTCAGAGAGAACATGCAAACTCCATGCAGAAAGAGCCGGGCCGGGAATAGAACCCAGATCTTCTTGCTGCAGGCCCCTGCTAAAGGGACGCTTAAAGATTACTTCAGCATTTATAGAGAAACATAAAAGAATAAAATTTAAAAAAAGTATTTTTTTAGTAGAGGAAACATTTTTGACAAAACTGGTTGTGCCAAATCTGTTTCCATTTCTGCGCTGTACAGCTTAATTTTTTGAGCCTAAAATGTATAATCCTAATATATATATAGAGGTTGGAACAAAACTTTTTTGAATTAATCATAGTCATTGTTCCTCGCTCATTATTTCCCTGTTACCGCCAATGCTAACTAAAAAAGTTTCCAGAGCATGTGAAACAGAAACAGGCCTACAGCATGACACAATTTCTACCTCAGATGACGGCGGGTGCTTTCCAGTACATTAGCTTCTTTTTTTAAGGTTTCATACATAAAGACAGCGTTCTCGAGATTGATGTGATAAAATTAGAAAAATGGGATGAATATGTCAAAATACATACATGAGTATTGGTAAACAATTGGAGGATCTGGCAAGAGGTTAGAAAGTCTGACGGGCTTATGAATGCTGAAGCAGGTGGTTATTAGCTCAGTGACATGCTGAGTCCAGTTAACAGGATACATTATGGCTGTCTCTGGACACAAAGTTGTCATGAGTGGTTTAAGCGATCTGACCCACAGGCAGAGAACCACTCAGAGACCAAGAGAAAAAGTTTAACAGATTTATTAAATGTAGATGAATGTCAGACGTGGGATCTGGAACTCAGTGGACTGGTGAACCGGAGCTGGAAAGTCTGAAGGGGAGATCACAGTGATAAGTTCAGGGACCGTAGGAAATTTGACTGAGGCTTGAATATTACTGGAGAGGGACTCACGCTTGAGGGGGCTCTTGTCAATCCTTGAATCCAACTTGTGGGGTTTAATCCAGAGAAGAGGGAACTCGTTGGAGGGCGGACAGATAGACAAGCGTTGGACCCAGAGGAGTAAAGGAGCGGACTGTCACTTGGATTTCCGATGAGGACTTGAATGTATCATGTGGAGATTTTCCCCTGCTCAGTGTGTACTCAGTTAATCCTTCCAGGGGGAGAAGGTCCAGGCATCCAGTTACCCAGGAAGGCTTCCTGCCGAAGAGCAAAGACAAAAACTAGATAAGACTCAGAGAAACAAAGCTTAGGTTAGACTCAGCTAATCTCTGCTTGGCTAGAGTACCCAAAACTGGCAAACACTCTGGCGTCGAAGTAGTGACAGCCCACTGCTCAAATACTCCTCCAGTAATGATCCAACGAGCTGCAGGTGTGCAGGGAGGCCCAACGAGGACAGGGCACCACCTGGTGGTGGAGAAAAACACACAAACAACCCACACAAACTGGATTCCTAACTAAAGTGAAAAGCTGAGGGAAACTGATAGGCACAGAGTCAGCAAAAAATGATTACCCACTAGCAAAAATGATATTCTGAAAACTGACGGCTAAGATTTTTCATCATAACACCCTGAAAATGGCTTAATTTGGCTTTTTTTTAATTTTTACTATTGTTCATGATCCCTGAATAGTAATGTAAGATGAAAGTCCTTGCTGTAGTGAACTTTGTAAATTAATTGGACTTCCCTCCCTTATCTTATCTTATCTTATCTTATCTTATCTTATCTTATCTTATCTTATCTTATCTTATCTGTCACAGCTACATTTCTTCAATGTTTTACATTTTGCTCTGACTGTAGATAAGGAAAATTTTAGGTAACATTTTCTTGCAGCCATCTTGATCAACACACATCTACTTTATTTGAATCACATGTTCTCCAGACTCCCCATCAAGGTATGATCCGAACACAGCAAATTGGTAAAAACTTTTAAGCCAAAGAGTCTGTTGAAGATCGCCATAATAAAGTGATGTCCAAATAGTTTTGGCAGTAAGGAACGAGGTAAGAAATGAAGCCTGTGCTTCTTATCATGGTTCAGTTAGCATAAAAAAATTTCCAACTTTACTATTTTGCCCAATTGAGCTATGAAGGAATTTCACATGTCTTTGCATGACATTATATATAAACCCAGCACCATGTGTGAGACACGTGAAAATGTATACACCTTCACATGTTATAAGTAATGGGTGACAGTGGTATAGGAGGCTGTCTCAGTCCTGTCCTTTCTACTGATGATTGACTAGGGGCATCGGTCAGGGTGTGTACACAAGTCTCACTTGTGTCAGCATGCCCCAGGGCAGCTGTGGCTACCATGTAGTGTGTAATTAATTGAAATGCTGTAAAGCGCTTTGGAGTGCCGTGACTTGACAAGTTTCAATATAAGTACAGTTTTAACCGTCCTCTATTTTGTAGATTTTTTTTTGTTAGTTTTTTTTTTTCAGATGGCTGTAGTCCAAAATTAACAGGCGTGTCACCCCTTTGTGTTTCTGTAAGTAACGATTTCCAGAAGGCTAATGACTGTCCACATTCATTCCTTTCTGCTGGGATGTATATATATATATATATATATTTAGGCTCATCATCAGGCCTAGATGCTGGAGATCGGCCTGTTTTCCAGTGTGGTCCTGTTTCTCTGACCGTGACTGGCTGGATGTGCTCTCTTCATCCTCAGACATGGGAGCTGGCTCGGAGCTCGTCTGCCTGGCTGTGTGTTTCCTGGACGGGGCCGCCTTTTCCAGTTGCTTTTGTATCTCTGCTTCTGTCTCCTTGAACCCCAGTCGGCCTCTGCAGATGGCCGCTCACACTAAGCCTGGTTCTGCTGGAGGTTTCTTCCTGTTAAAAGGGAGTTTTTCCTCTCCACTGTCGCTACAAGCATGCTTAGTGTGATGGATTGTATTTGAGTCAATGAGTCAATGCAATCAACTGGTTTTCCTTAGATAGAAAACTTTGTATCAATTTGACTGTATGATCTGGTTGAACTGTAAAGTGCCTTGAGATGACTTGTGTTGTGAATTTGGCGCTATATAAATAAACTGAATTAAATTGAATTAAATTAATAGTGGTGTACAACCAGATGGAGAGCACAACACAGGAACAGATGTAATTCGGGAAAAACTGAGATGTCAGACTCAAAATCCTACATGTCCTCTCAAGTTCAAATGTGACTTTCGAGTAAATAAAACATTGACAAAGCAAAGGAGATGCTTTGTGGCCTAATTTTCACGAGAAGAAACATAATTTAGCTTCACGTAAGGTCTAAGAGGCGGCACCCCATCTAGGTTAGGAGGGCACCCCACATTTGTTAGGATCTTTCTTTGTCTTTCATTTATTTGCTTGTTAAACAATGATATTACCCACAATCTGAGTGTTAAGGCTGATGTTTTTCACAGGCAGTTTGTATAATTAGCATCAGATATGGAAATGAAACGAGAGCATACAGACTGAGATGATAATGCTTAACAGAGAGTTCTGGTAATGTGCATCTGATTGTCCTTGATCTAAAAACACTGTATGTTAGTTTGATAATGTATGGCTGAAACCAGGGATGTCTCATCATTTACAAAATACATGTGTATGATGTAATGATGTTTAAGGGTTTGACTTTGCAGATGTATAAAAAGCTTCTTATTCAAGGGACTTCACTGATGAAGCAAGGCTGGTAAGGCCTATGTTTGTGACCTGAGCCATTTCTCTGGTCTGAGATTAAATTCTGTTTAACCTTCCATCATATTTGATATATATGCATTGGTAAGTGTTATTTAAAGGGTAATTTCACAGTGATCTCTTCTCAGGAAGAGAATCAGGGAGAGAAAAGTTGAAGGTGTAACACAATCGCTTTAATTTACATATTATAGGATATCAGGCAGAGACATTCAATGATTTCCCCAATTTTTGATCGGAAGGGTCACATCGACTCCTTTTTATATGGAATGTAAATTTAATTTTTTGCTGAACATTTAGTCCTGCTTGAAAAAAGTCATGATTATTTAACAAGGCGGGCACTAGGTAGAGACATTAAACTCCCTCGACCCAGAACAAACTATCTAAAATCTAGAGGTGTATTATAGAGCCATTTGTCACTGGAACCAACTGCCAATAACCACGCGAAGAGTCCAGAACAAGCTTCAAAAACATACTGTCTTCAGAACTACTGCAGATGATATGATGAACTGACCTGTGTATTTATGTTGTATATTTCTACTCTTTTTCGTGTTCCTATTATTTCCTAATGTGACACTTGTGCAATTTTTTTAATGGTTTGTTCATAATGTAATGTAACTTCCTTATGTGAGGACCCAAGGAAGATTAGTGGCCATTTATTTGGCAGCTAATGGGGATCCTAATAAAACTAAACTAAACTAAACGACATTTCAATCAGATGGCTCGGAATGACTCCCTGATCAATAACTTATCTATTAGTTTTTAGAAGGTGAAGTGGTCCATTTTAAGAAATCTAGATTAGCTTAGTAGACATCATGATAATGACCACTCGGAAAGGAATGATCAGTTCAACAATATGGTTACCAGGCTTAAAGGTATAGTGGAGGATTTTTGCAAATTTTTGAAAAGACCTGCCCTCTCCATTTAAAAAAAAATGCAAATGCACAACCATGCACCTGCTTCTAAGAGGGAATCTCTATTAAATGCATGTGAGAGCATGCACAAACCCCTCTTCTCCTCTTGCACGCTCTGTTCAAAAGTTACTGTTTGCATCACTCGGACCACTTATTTTGATGATCCACCCAGAAAAAGAAAATCCTCCACTATACCTTTAAGGTTGATTTCAAACACATCAAATTGTAGCTCATGTTCCTTTAAGTTTTATTGCATCAATGTTAAGATCAGCCTTATGGGTAGGAAAGGAACCATGAAAATCAACATTTCAACAACAACAAAAAAAAATGGGGCCTTTAAGTTTAAAAGTAGGACACAAAACACAGAATGTCTTATATTTATGTTTTTTTTATTATAAAATAACAACAAACATACAATATATATATAGATATAGTTATACAGACTGAGCTTTTTAGATACGTTTATTTTACACCAAGCTTATGTCATAAATATCTTAACATAATTAACATAACTACAATTCATAATCTCTATGAAGATATACGACCATGCTGATGGTAAATGCTACTTTATTTAGATTTTTCATTGTCATGATTGCATATATTTGTGTGTTTTGAAGGGTGACTGTGCAGTGGGACAGTGATGAAAGGGACTGTGCAGACCTGAGGGGAGGCGGGACGCTGTTTGCCTCTAAATGTGATGAGCATGGACCCTGGGTCTGCAAGAAAGAGTCCTGAACAGCCGTCACGATCTTTTCATCTATAGAATATTAATAAACTGAGATCGATAGTTGTAAATGTTCAGGAAAGATTAAACCAGCCCTAATACTTTATTGGTGCAGCTTAATGGTTTAATGTTTGCTGGAAAGATTTATATTCTTCAGCCACAACATTTTATTTATGAAAGCTTTTTTTTTCCTTTTAGGAAAGTGTAGTTTAAAGTGCATGCACATGAAAAGAACCAGAACATGTTTATCCTAATAAATGCTTTTTATCTAAAAGTTACACATTGTTTCTGCTGTGCTGTTCTGAAGATCTATGTTCTAACATCTTTAAGGTTTATCATCATCCTAAATATTGTCATCCAACAATGCTTTAAATTGTTTAACCAGACACATTGAGAGTACTGAGATCACACTTAAACAATCATAGCACCTCTAAAAAAAAGATCTCCTTTGCAGTTGGATCATCTTCTGGGGATTGTTTATGGGGCAACAGAGAAACGCAAATTAAAATGAAACAAACAGAAATATTAAGATGTTTTTTTTCCTTTTATCAGGGTCTAAAAGTCCACAACAGGGAACCTAAGGTTTGTTCACCTTCGCTTCCTTTCTCTAAAAAGACTGTAACTTTACTTATTTTTGAACAAATGTCTAATTAACTCATAATCCAGTGAGAATAAACCAGTAATCTCCTGATTACACCCTCTTCTAACCTACATGCTTCATGCAACTGAAATTGAAGCAAATCTTAAAAGGTTCTTTTTTTTTTTTTAGGTTTTTCTATAATATTTCAAGAGGTTTTCTGATGTTTATTGGATTTTTTTTTATTGTTTTGAGAGTTAATAAACTAGATCACACAGCTCAAACATCCTCCCTCTCTTTTAAAAGATTTTCTAAGCTTTTGACTGGGATTGGTAAGGCTTTCTTTACAGCGTATTCCCATCGTTAAATGCTACCTTTCTAGCCTTGCCCGTGCTCTTCTCCGTGCTTTCTGATATTTCATTTGGATTGATGATAGTGATGAGGGTGCGGCCGTCCATGGGTGCGAATAGAGGGTACACCTTATCCCTGAAGTTTGCTGTGAATGTGAAGATGTGGGATTTGGTTTCAACGTTGTAGAAGGAGACCTGGCCTTCTTCGTAGTCTAGGTACACACCGAGGCGCCGCGGGAGAAGGCTGATGGGTAGCTCCGTCTCCGGCTTGGTGCAGGCATAAAAATGGTTTGTGCTTCTCCACAATACCCAGTATCCCTTTTTGGGGGTCATTGGGAAGTTTCCCTTCCGCTTGGAGTCGGCCGTGGTCAGGCCGACACGCCAGTAGCCCTTATTGGCGATGTCCACCTCCCAGTAGTGGCGGCCGTAGCTGTAGCCCTCCGAGCCCAGAACGCAGGGACAGCTGTCAAAGCGCTGGGAGCTGTAGGGAGGGTCGGACTCTGTTAGACCCTCCTGGACCCTCCGCTGGTCGTCTGAAAGCTGAAGCCATGGGTGATTCGTCATTGGGTCGAGCAACACATCAGCTGTTAGGGAGAACAGAGGAATCAGTGCTCTAGAACCACAATTTGAAGTATATTTTCTTTATACTGGATAATGAAGGCAAGTATGCCCAATACTTACCAGCTGCGCTGCAGATCCAGCTCCAAACTGAAAACAGAGATGAGGACAAATAATTATAAACAGCTCATAAATAAATAAAAAGTTTTCCAAACTGGCCTGAAAAAGTACATATCTACAAACCTGTGTTTGGGATGTATCTGGGTATTCCTGCTTTCCAGGTCCTCTGCTTCGCCAGCAGCCAGATTTGGCAAACCATTGTCTAAACAAATAAATTAAGTAAAAAATGATCATCAGGGTGAAAAAATTGTTTTTGCTGTAACTTTTTTTTTGACCATTCGATCAAGCCACTGTAATTCTTAAAATAATTATTGTTTTTCCTTTAACTACAGGTTCCATCAATATCCTCGAACAAAAAGTAGTTTAAAAGCTCTTTGGCTGCAGGGGTTAACATCGTTCTGTTCAGAATATTTTAATGAGTATGAATCAAGAAAGAACATAAGAGCTTCAGTTTGTTTTTTTACATACCTGGTCAGTTTGTTTTATCTTTAAAATACTTAGAATTATAATTACTCGCTCTCTAACATGCTCTTAACTCCCTCTATATTTGGTAAATTTATACATATAAAATTGAAAATTCAGTTTGTTGTTAGCCTCATCGGGGCCCCATCTGACCACATCCTGCTGGTCGCCTTTTCCGCTTTGTTTGCTTTTCTCTGTTTTCTCTTTACTAATTATTTTCTTGGAGATTCTAGGTGAAAGTGGTGATAGATAAAGCGCTTAATATTCCCCATATGTTATCGGGGACAGAGACGTTGTTGGTTATCAGCGTAGCAGCGCATCAGGGTCAGCAAAATCAATTTATGGCTTCGCCGCATGTATATTGAGAGCAAGGTTCAGTGTTATACAACCATATGGCATCAGATTCACCTCAAGGGGAGGGGGGGTTTCATATAAGATGGTTTGCATGTGTTTGATTTATTGGTCTATAACATTTAGATGAATATTTGATCTAAAGGTAGAGCAGCAGTGGTGTTTCTCACCGAGCTGTCATCCTTCAGCAGGGACCAGGTAATGAACTCCAGCAGGGGCAGCAGCTTGAACAGACGCTTCTTCTTGACGCCCAGCATGCGCAGCACTTTACCCAGCTCCTCACTTTCCACACCGCAGCTCTGGAAAACAAACAAAATCTGCATCTCAGATTGTTTTATGAGAAATCAGACATTTTTTTTCTGTTTTGAAGTAGAAAAATATGTTTTATGTAAAAATCCTAGCCGTTAACCCCTCACCTCGGTGGCCCTCTGCAGCTCCTTTGCCCACTCCATGAGCCTCACTTGCCCCTCATCTTTGGGCTCCTCTTTCTTTTGATGATCAGATTTCCATGGTGTCTCCATTAGAAACTAGAATTGAGACATTAGTTAGAAATCATACGCATTTGATGTGTTTGACTACTGCATATTTCTTATCTGAAAGCTCACCTTGTCAACATGGCGAAGCTCATCAGCCCACTCTAGGATCAGCTTTCGGCTCTCCTCCAGGCTGCGCTCGGTGCGTCGGTCTGAGCTCTTGGTCTCTGCCTTACTGGTTCCCTCTCCAGTATCTGTGCCCCCCTGCTGAAGCACAACAAACAAAGTTTCAAACATGCTTTGAGCCAGAAAACCCATTTACAACCGCCTGACGAATCAGATTATCTAAACCTGAAATTTGTTCATTGGATTTAAGAGGTAATAAACGAAGAAGGTAAAGTCTAGGCCTGCGTGTTTATCAGGCTGCAGTCTTGGCTGCAGGCTTAAAGGTCGAATATTCAGGTTGTAAACACATATGGGGACATAAAACAGATATTTATGCAGCCACCCATCCTTTATATCATATTATTAATGATACACAATTAATGCTTGTTTTCATGGCACCGTTTATCTATATCCACCCCTGACTTATGAAGCTGAGATAAGGACTCTAGCTCATAAAATAAATCTGATAAAGCAGAAAATACACGTGATTTAAAGTTTGTTAGTATGTTCAGCATATAGACTGAGTCTTTTGCATAATTCTAAATCAGGATAAAAAAAAGAGTGTAATTTGCTTTAAATGTTCTATTTCATGAAGAGATGTGGGTTCTACCTTGCACACTTGATCCACTTGCTCCTTCCAGTGGTGGATGAATTCAACACACTCCTGCAGACTGCGCAGCTCCTTCAGGTTGCCCTGGCGCGCAAGATGCTGCAAGATAGATGTGCCATGTTTTAAAACAATGCAACAAGGAAGAAAGGGAGAAACATGGATTTTAAGATCCACTTTTATGATTTTCCATCAATCATTTCCTTCTCTTGTCCATGGTTAATTTGTAGATACTCGTCTGGGATCTTTCAAAACCAATAAACAGGGTCGGTTAGGGCCAAAAGCAAGAATAAGCTCAATCCAGCTCACTACACCACCGTCAAACTAATATTGAATTTTTAGATTTTCAGTCAGTCGTCTGATCAGGACTCTGTCAAACCTACTTTGAGGATAATCTATGGGGTAAGATAACTGTCAATAAAAAACGTTAAGTGAGCATTTAAATTTGTAAATAATTTTTTTTTGTAAATACAAATTAATAACAAGGAACATATAGAACTCTTTAATTTATTCACATTATTGACATACCTTCGGACATCTACTAATATGTTTTTACAGACAGATGTCTTACACCATAGATCCAACAAAACACTGGGTATGCTAATTGCCTCGGTGCTAACCACTTATAGCGATCAAAGCTTTTTCCAAAGCATTTCTGTCCTTAAAATGGATTCAAAAATTAAATAAACATTTACAAAGACTGACTATTTAATGTGAAAGTTTGGTTTAAACTTAAAATATATCAATGGTTTTCAGTGCAGTGGACATATTGAATTTTTTTGTAGGAAAACATAATCAAGCGCCTTTGTTTTGTTTTTCTGGTTTCTGATTACAAATGGCGTCCTGAATGTGTCGTTCAAATGAACCAAATAATTTGTGTGAATCAGGAGTGATTTGGCTGATTGCTACCCTCGCCCAGAATACAAAGTAGATGCTTTAAAATAAAACTGCTGCCAAACAAATCAAACCCTTTTTCATGCAGTAATTGTGTTGCTGTTTCTTCCTTATTTATTATACCTATGAACTGAGATCATATGCAAATTATCTGGAATAGAAAGTACTATATAATAGTTTTTTTTCCCAGATTTATTCTGGCAATTGACATTTTCTTATATGCAATAGATTTTAAATTGAAAGCTACTCTACTTTTTTTTATCTGAGCCGATTGACTGCTCATTGCCAGAACTTTATAATAAGGTGAGGTCTGAAAAATTATTCCAATATTTCATGATTAGCACACTTGGTTATTCTCTATGGGGGCAGATATTATAAATGTTTTACTTTTTTCTGCTTCTTTTCTTTCATTCATGATTAAAGTTGTCACCTGCACAGATTTTATGATCTTTTTTTTTTTTTTTTTTTTTTTTTTTTTTTTTTTTTATGAATGAATAAAATAAAATAAAATAAATTTAAAAAATATATAAGTCTGAGGGAGAAGAAAAAGCAGTTAAAACTCTGTAAATAGGGCATTATGTGATTGTAACTGTAAAACCAAAACTGCAGCTGCATGAGCTGAAGGATTCGCTAAATTAATCTTTTGAAGGACGGCACTAATTTTAACAAAAAGCTGTTCCTAGAATTAATTATAAAACAATAATGTTTCCATTATATCCCAAGTGAATGGATACAGCTACAAACTTTAATATATTTTATAAATAAAAGAAACAAAAACCATCTAAATGACTAATGTGTGTCACTCAGAACTTGTGCACGTCACATTACTTATCTGCTGTTAACACTGGGAATAAAGTTTTGAAAATATATCCAAATCATCTTAGAATAACTGAGAGATTATGTAAAGACAGGATGTAAATTGAAAAAAATATATATATACCGTAACATAAAATAAAAAGCAAAAGAAAAAGTAATCAAGCAAAACTCAGCAAAGAAATGTGTTATTTGCTTTTTGTATATATAATTTTATACATATTTGTCTTCATTTCCTGTTGGTAGCATTAAAAAATTGAGAGCAGAAAGATGCTAACTTGTGGAGACTTGTTTAATTTAAATACATTTTTCATGATACACAGTCAAATTCTCTTAGTTCTCTTTTGAAGTTAATAAATTTAGTTTCTTTTAGCCTTGTGCTCACTGACTCCCCTTGTGACTCTAAACAACTGCTTAGTTTTGTCATGCCTTAACCACTAATGTGTAAAACTACACCTGGACCATGAAGCAAATAAAAAAAAAATTAAAAACACACAGTCTCTACATCAGGAACAGGAACAAAAATCGAAGCCAAAGAGCTTACCTGAGGGTTCCTGTTGGTGCCTGTCTTGGCGTGAACGGTTGGGGCCGAGCTGTGAGGCTGGACGCTCTCATCAGTCACCTTCCAGCGAACAGCCCCGATGGAGCTGCTTTGGGTGGTGTTGCTGCCCTCATCATTCAGCATCAGCTGCACCCCTACAGGGCAGGTTTCTCAATGTTACAAATGTGTATAGAACAACGTATGGAAGAAACGAAGTGCAGAATGTAGAACCGTTGGAAATTAGGCTGTTTAAAATTGTAATTTCTTTTAAATACATTTTAAAAATCACATCTGATTTGCCACATTAAAAATCACACATAAGCTTGTAATATTTATATTTGTCCAAAAGGAAATACAGAAACTTACGTTTGTTTTGCTTTAGGATAGTTTTTAACTCTGTGCCTTCGTCTTTATTCATGGCTGTGGGAAAAGAAACACATGAAGGTTATGTAAAGAGACCAAAACCGACTGTAACATTCATGATGAGTATTCTAAAAATAGAAAAAGAATAATAGATTATTCTCCTTATTCATTAAATACCAATATATTGTTAATGTAACCCAAGGTTTTAGCTAGTTTGTCAAAGCAAAAGTAAAATCAACCACCATAAAATCAATATACATATTTCTAAGAGCAGCTGTTTTACCTGTGGTGCAGAAAAGAAAAGTGTTATATGTAAATTTAGAGCAGTTTACCTGTTCTGTTGTTGGAGCGTTGCTGCAGCTCTGATGGTGGAGAGAAGTGGACGAATAGCGCTGCCTGTCCAATCTTTTTGTTAACGCTTTTTTATGACCTTTTTATTGCCTGGAGCTGGAGAGGGAAACTATTTCTCTGTAAATCCCTTCAGCTTCCTGAAAGCTGACAGCGGACTCACCACAAGGGCATAGAGAGGAGTGATGGTTTACAGCAGCAATAAACCCTGTTATCATAAAAGTGACGCAGGTGACTGAGGTCTCAGGTATGTATTACTGTAAACTGTAAACCTGGCAGCAGAGCAATGAGGGCAGAGGTCAGACTGCTTCTATGAGGGCTTAAATAAATCATGACAGGCCAACAGATATAATTTTATACACTCATAATTATAAAATACAGTCTCACACAACAGGTTTGATGATACATATCAATTAAAATATAATCTTATATAATAAGAGTAGAATTCAACTTTATAGTCATTACACTGCCACCAGTATAAAAGCAATGAAATGTAGTTTGCATCTATCTAGAAGTGCTATTCAGGATATAAATATTTATTTACATGTGCACAGAGACTGTATGTATTAACTTTAAATGGTGTATATAAACAGAGAGTAATTGAAAGAGGCTATAAAATAAATAAAAATGAAAACTATACAGATTAAACAGGAAAGTTAGGATATGGATTATGTATATATAAGTGGGGTTATAATACAGGATAAATAATCACATATAATAATAAAGATTTACAGATTATATGCAGCTATAGTTGAGAAGTGCATGTAAGTGGTGCTGAATCCGTGGATGTGTGTTAGTAAAACAACCCTAATAGAGATTAATTCAAGCCTCTTTAACAAATTTAGCCTAAATGTCAGTAAAAAATGAAACACTAAAATAAATCTTCTTATTCAGGAGCAATAATCAGACACAGGGCAAGGCAGAGGGAATTTATTTATTATTAGTTCTATGATGGCACCAGAGAGGTGAGGGAGATAGATGTGAAGCAGGAGTAGAACTGATGTCCCAAACTTTGAAGATCTAACAGAGCAAAGCTTGATCCATCATCTGCTAAAGAAAAGAGTAGAACAGCAGCAGACCTGGGATGCGTGGGGAGAGATTTAACCTGAGAAGCAGCCAAAAGGCCCATGTTGACTCTGGAGGAGCTGCAGAGATCCTGTTTGAAGTTTTTCCACATGGCATATAGGGGATACATAAAACATGTGGAAGAAGTTGCTCTAATTATGAGACCGAAACATACGATGTGTGGAATAACTTAGATCCGATGTTCTCAGACAGTCTCCTTCCAATCTGACTCAGGCTTGAGATATTTAGCTAAGAAAAGTTGTCTACTTTGTGTTTATCTATAACGGAAGCAGCTGTGACGTAAATGGACTTATGTGGTCGGAAAAAAAGAATTGTCACAACCACTTTTAAATAACTCTCAGTTTAAAAGAAGTTTATACAAAAAAAAAAATCTTTTGAACCTTTTCTACTCAATGATCCTAATCAGCTGTGAATCATTAATACATGTAGAAGACATATCATAAAGTATAACACATTTTAAATTGTTTAATAGAAATATTCGGAAAATTTCAAATAATAGTAAAACTTGGCCTATAAAATAGGTTGAACTATAATAATCATAAAAGACAGGGAAGATAATGTAGACAGGAGTGGGAGTTGGTTTGTTTTCTGGTTTTATTCAAAGACTTCTACACAGCTCTGCAAATGGGATTTATACATAAAAATGCTGAGAATGTTTGATATTAATTTATAACTATTACAAAGATATTCAGTTTGCTTTAAAAATTGTATTGTATTTTTTATATATATTAAGCCCTTCTCAAGGTTTTTTTTATCTAATTTCTTTACGTTTGTATGGAAACAGATACGACCTTAGACTAAGAATCTAAATTCATATTCCCAGAAGAAGCAAAACTATTCAATGAAGATAATAAAGTGACCTATTTTGTTAAGAGGAACTTTTTAAATCGAATTCTTCAGAAAATGGTCTTTCAGCAGCGGTTTAAAACTGGCTTAGGTTGAGCTGCCTTAAAGAAAACCTCTTTTTCTATCTTTTTTTTTTATTGTAGCTTTAATTTGCTCTAACTTGACCTGAAACCTCCAGAGATGAGTTATTCCACATAAATCGGGCTGGCCCAATTCAATAAATGTGTGACTAACAAATGACTACAAAAGCTCCTCCTGCTGATAAGTGGGTTGCCGTGACAGTGGGATGCTGACCTATGAAAAAAAGATAAAGGTGAACCAGTCGTGGCAGCTGAAAAACAATTATATAAAGATTGCTGTCATGCTGGGAAACATTGCACAGTTTTAAGCCTAATTTGAAACCAACTGATTCAAATTGTTGGCAGTGAACACACCAGGAGCAGAGAGAACTTTTTTATTCTTCTTCAACAGACAAACCTGGGATCATTTTGAGCAAATATAAAAAAAAGTTTCCTTAATGTTCTTTTAATTTATTCACACACTGTCACCACAAGTATTGTGTTTCATCTTTTTAGATATAAAAGTGGCATCATTCTGATTCTACCCAAATTTAAAAGAAGCAGCAGCCTTCAGCTGCCTCCTCTATAACTTTTAAATATCTACATACAACAGGGAGCTTGTATAAAAAAAAACTAAACATGTTTTGAGTTTGGTGCTAATTTCATGTGTGCAGTGCTGTTTGCAGCGAGACGCTCAGTTCCAGTTCTTGAAGAATTGCTTAAAGATGATTGTTTCCTTCCCCTGAGGGAGAATCTCCACCTGCAGGAGAACAACACTTTTTACTAACGATGCTAATTGAAGTTTTACGGATATAAACTGCCTTCAACACATTTACATCTGCACCGTGTGTTTCTGTTTCAACCCACCTGTGTTTTCATTCTGGGGTACTTCATTTGTTCGATGAAGTTGTCCGCCATCTGCAGGGCCACCCTCTTCTCCTCTGCATTCGCTCCATGACCTGGCGGTTAAAAATTCATTATATAAGTCCGTGTTACTCGACAACAGGGTCGTAAACAGTGTGAAGAGTATAGCTGTAGACACGAATGTCTGTTGTTTTACTTTATTATCAGTTTGCATCTAACATGCGGCCTGGTTGCAGATAACTTAGACGAATTCCAGCTCAGCAAAAGTCTGGTTGTTCAGTTTTTATTTAAGTCATACTTAGAAATCTTGTCTTATACCTTTGAGCAATATTTATTTAAATTATTTTTTATTTTTTTGCTTAATTTTCTATTAAAATAAACATTGATTCATGCCTTCACTCCAACCACATTGAGCATTTCTTATTTTCTCTCAGCAGATTTAGTTTAATATGTTTCATGTCTAAATGTCAGATGTCTGTGATCTTCTTCTTCTTTAAGGATATTTATCTTGAACAATAAAAGTGAATCTGTTTGAGATAACAAAATCAACCTAAAAAATAAAAAATTATTTGGTAAAAAAGCTTTTTAACAATTTTAGACCAAATCCTGACTAAAATAACTTGTTTTAAAGTTTTAGTATCCAGTCTTTTTTTTTTCTTTACTAGATAGAGGGAACATCTATTAATTAATGGGACTTATTGTGACTTAATGACTATAAGATGCAATTTTTAGATTTACATCCAGAATTCTTTTCAAATAAATTTATCTTGCTGCATGGACATATAATTTTACTTGGTTTGATTGACTTCTTCCTGGGATTTAGTTTTTATTTCTTTCGTGATTATAGACATGACTTTTTTGCACTAAAAAGTGTGTTAATTTTACAATCTTAAACCAAATTATTAACCAAAATATGTGAAATATGATCATGTGAATCATAACAGAATATTTAATTAAGCTAATGTTTTAAGGTCTGCGTCACTGCTAGGCAGTTTAAAATGTCTTTTAATGATTTATCTGGCTTCTAGATGTGTTTTATTCTGTTTTAAATGTGTTATGTTGACTGTTACTTTTTTGCTTTCATGTATTTCAGGAAAAGTGTTTCATGTTTCAGGTTTGAAGGGGTTTTTTTTTTTTTTGTTAAATTTCCAGACAAAGATTTATGTAGAAATCAAACAAATAGTGTAAGGAGAAAAAAATCATTTTGTTAAATAAATAAATATCCAATCAGGGCCAAATTAAGGTACGAGTAATTATTAGAAATCATCAGTTTAATATAAAAGCACAAATATGGCTGATGTAGGAGATGCATTTATCATGGAAAGCTTTTAAATAATTGATGCAATTTCTCACCAAATTTTGTAAAAGTAATTTTCTATGATTCTGACATGTTACTCTTTACTTCCATGTATTTCAGGAGAAGTGTTTTATGTTTTAGCTTTGGAAGAGTTTGTTTTTTTGTTACCTTTCCAGACAAAAACTTTTCCATTTGCTCCGTTATCCAGAATGAAGCAGTCGTCCCTGACCAGCAGCTCCTGGGAAAAAGGGCTTTTTTCTGAAACCTTAGTCATGGTCATGGAGCCTGTGGCATCAGATACCTACAGATGGGTTAAAGACTAGTTTAGCTTCATTTCTCCAGGTTGGTAACAAAGCTGCTGTTTTGGGAGCTAGAATAACCTTATATAGGGATGCAGTGTTGGAGGCATCAGCTTTGTTGTCTTCCTCTGGCGTGCTTTCTGCCAGAACTGGCATCGGCCCCAGCACCTGGTAAAACACAACACATTTTTACCAAATGGTTTTAAGCAAAGCTGATGACATGGACAGATCAGCTGTTTTGTTTGAGTTTGTAGTGGCTCATTTTTCTGACAGTAGGCCGACAGGAAAGGGGGTATAAGAGAGGGAGGGGGGGACATGAGGCCAGATTCAAACCCGGGTCACCGGGGTCAAGGACTGAGGCCTCCCTACATGGGTTGTGCTTGCTAACCACTGTGCCACCTGCATGCCCTCACATCATCAGTTTTTTTGTACCTTCAGCATTTCCTCTGGCTCTTCCCCCTCACAGGTATCCACCACGCGGGCTTTTCCGTGTCGGTCCGTGTCTCGGATCAGGGAAGCAATCTCACGCACTTTCTGCTTCTCGAAAATGTTGGCCTGCGATCCGGTCCATGACAAGATCGTCTGCAGAGTAATAAGCCCAGATCATAGAGTCACAACATGTAGAAAGGTTTTCATGCAGCTTGTGCATCCTTTTTAAGTTTTGTTCTGTTCCTGCATTGCATTGAAGTGCACCAACAGCTCCATCACTTTTTAAAAAAAGAAGATTTATATTTTGGAACAGCATATATTTTTCTCTCAAGGTGCTACAGGGGAGCTAAGCATTGGACTGAGGGTGATATGAAGCATCCTTTGTTCCTATATTTTAAAGTGAACAGTTGCAAACAAAAACAGATGTGTTCACTACTCCTAAAATCTGCAAAAGTCAACAATAACATGAATCATGAATAAATGGTGTTCTGCTATCTAATTAAAAATATGTAATGGTGTAGTATTTGAATAAATTCACTGCGTTTTGTTTCCCCAGATTTGGAAAAAGAAAATACAGTAATTCAATCTACATTCACCGGAAACATCTGGAGAAGTAGAGCTAAGATTATTACTAAGTTGATTAATAATAAATTAGAATCATCTATAATTAATTTAAAAAAATTAAATCCACTTATATTTTTTATGTTTTATGTAGAGATAAAAGAAATAGTGAAAGGAGAAAAATAATGTTGTTAAATAAATAAATATCCAATCAGGGCCTAAATAAAGTAATAGTAATTAATAGAAATAATCGGTTTAGTATAAAAAGCACAAATATGTCCAGTTTAGAACATGTAATTTTCACAGAAAGCTCTGCAATGTTTGCACAAGATTATTCTTTGACCCACATGATATTTTCAACTTAAATCAAAGAAAGAATAACATGACAAAGATAGAAATATAAATACTTTGCAATAACAAGACTGCAAATGAAGTAATGCCAAAAATGGTAAAATAAATAAATAAATATCAAAACATTTAGTTTTACTGACCTCTACAAAATAGTTAAGTGGGGCTGGACAGTGGCACTATGATATTTTGACAATTTAAATAATTGTAAAAATAATTACTTAATAATTAATGTTTTCTGAAAAATTCTTATTAAATGTATCTCTACAAGAGGTTTTGCTTATACTGGAAAAATTTGTACGCATTTTTTCAATTGGAACTGGGCGTGTTTTGTGGGAAAATTATCAACATGGGGTCATGTTAAAGAACATTAACTTCTTGGGGATGCCATTTCTTACATGTGTAGCTCTAGCAGGCCCAAGCGCAGCCACTGCTTTGGAAATATCTCTTTAATGTGTTTGTTTTTTCATGTTCGGTTGGATTATCTCACCTCTCCGAGGTCAAGGATGAAGCAGTCTCCCTTGTTGAAGCTGCTCCAGGATAGCTCCACCTCCTTTGCACGGATATTGCGTTTCCCTTTGATCTGGTAGAGCCTCTGCACCGTCCCACTGCCCTGTGTCCTCCTGAAACCCGACTCAACGCCCCCTTCCTGTGAAAAAACCCAAACCTTAACTGGAGATCTTCTTTTTTTTATTTTTATGTTTAGCCCTTTATGACTTTATATAATCTGCCCTGATTGGAATCTAAGGTTATTATCCTAATGTCCATGCTGCTGCAGCATGGCTTATTTAAACAACCATAAAACTCATCTGAAATGCACTTTGTCACTGAAGTCGTATATAGCCAATAAGAAACTGGCCATAAAAGGATAAAAAAATAAACTTTGCATTTTTCACATAAACTTTACAAACCGGTTTTATATTTCGCAGGAAGAGAGACATAACCAGCAAAGCATTACGAGACAAAAAACTCACATTTCGTTCATTTTTGGTAAAAATGAACTACAATCTGACACAATGAAGGATTTTTATTTGACTACTATTACTGACACAACAGACCAAACTGATTTAAACCGGTGCTGACCCATTATGTTAGAGAGCCATTGCAGAATCTTATATTTATCTATCTTTATCAATTCTAATAGTGTCTTCATTAAGTATCGTAATTATGGTAAACACCAAAAGTCCACACGAACATTTCTAATGCTGGGAATATTCTATGATAGCTGATTTGCTGAGATGAGGTAAACTTTAACCTAATACTGCATCGTTAAGTGTTTTCTCCTGTTGTGTTTGTAACTTATTCTGTGACATATATATATTTTTAAATGACCAATTTTTGTTTAAATTTTATCAAATGCTTCCCAGCAGTCAGTTGATGAATTTGATGCACCCTCTTCTTCCTGCAGCAGATGAATTAGGAAATCTTTTACTGTCTTGTAGCAGGTCAGGTTAATATGAACACAAAGTGCTGGTAGTTTCCACTTTACAAGTGGAAAGGATAATCTTTACTGACCACCTGAAGGCAGCGCTAGACCAGTCTGATTGTGAGTTTGATATTCTTGTGATGTTGAAACACCTAGCGATTTCAAGGCTTAAACAGAGACTCTCGCTGTTACATGAGAGGAAACACTAACACTGGTAGCAATTTGATGAGATGCGGGAACCCTGTGTTTAAATGAAAAATGTATTCATCCATCTAAAATGTGATTGAAATATTGACAAATTACACTATGAAAGTTTGAAATGAACAGTTAAATAGTAAATATCACAAAAATAGATTAAAAAAACATTTAAAATGACAAATAAAAATCATTAAAAAAAATTTTCTTAAAAAAAACACTTTATATATATGACTAAATAGAAGGAAGTAATTATATTTATTTTTAAGGGGTCCCCAGTCGGTTTTCTCGTTATTTTTGGGGTCACAGGCTGAAATGTTTAGAAACCTCTGATATGATAAGATATAGAAAGAGTTGCTCGCACAAGAAGAAGGGGTGCCTCACACTATCCGATCCATCACATAAGCACGATCCGTACCATCAGCTCATTTGCGCATGCGCCATCAGAACAGGGTCGCCCTAGATTTTAATTAGTAAAAAATACTGAAATGTGTTTTTCCCTTCTTAAAAATAGTAAGCGTACTAAAATATAATGTGTTAAAGGTTAATAATGTTTTTAGCATCAAATTGAATCAGACAGGTCATAAAATAATGTTTTAAAGATTTGTATTAGCATTCTTTAGTGATTTAAGTACACAAATAAGTACTTTTAGTACCATGATTATTTCTACCTAAATCAATATCTTGCTGCGCATCCGCAAATTAGTTGATGGTACGGATCGTGCTTCTGGGACGGATCGGGTAGTGACAGTGCCCTTCACAACAGCAGACACATCTAATCCTTGTTTAAAAGGGTAACTGACCACTGTGACGGCAAATATTTTTGAAAATAACAACCCTGCACTGCACCAATTGGTAGGTATGATGGTAACAGTGTCATAATAATGAGCCTAAACCTTTTCATTTAAATGTTTTTGTTTTTCTTCTGTATGTAACAAAGCCTAAATGATCTTGAATAACTAAGATCTAAGCTAAATACCATTCTTTAGGATAGCACATTATTATTATTGTATATATAAATTTCCACAGTTGCGGCTCACCTTGTAGCTGACCCCTCTGGGAAAGAGCCCCATGAACTCAGGGGACTCGTAGCCCTGAACCTGCCTGTGCTGGACTGGGTCACCGCCGAGGAAGTTGTCCAGCTGGGTGGCCAGCATGGCACAGGCGACCTGCTCATCCCGAGAGGACTTCTCTCCTGAAGATGGGGGAAAAAACCATGTCAGAGATGAATGGAACTGTTGTTTTTTTTCTTATTTAGCTGCAAAGATCTGCTCTGCTACAACTGTGTTTGATAAAGACCCAGAACACTGAAAGGCTAGACATCAAGAGTCATCTAAAATAATCATCAAAGATGTCGGAAATTTTTTTCGTTAAGCAATAACAACGGTTAGGACTTAAGATTTCTTGAAAGTCCCTGGAAATTAGAAAGGATTCGTTGTGGGAAGCTATTATTAAACATGCCAGTCAGTTTATCATAAGCTTTCTTTTCAAAATTTTTAATCCTTTTTTAGTTGAATACATTTATTATAGTTGTTTTTCTAACTTTATATCAATGAAAGCTCTTGGGTTCATACTATTGTAGTAACTCACCTTTGCCAACATCTAATATCAAACATAAAGCAGGAAAAAAATCAATGTGATAACCCTTAAAAAAGAAGCTGTCATTGCATAGGTCACCATACAGGTAGACTCTGACCATGCTATAAAGATAGTTATACTTGTTTATGTAGCCCGTTTTATCAAGATAATACTCGTTTTATCTCTGTGAACTAAAAAAAACACCTGCCCTGAGGTCCATTGTTAGAGGAGGTTTATCTAGATGGCGGTAAATAGAGGAGAACAGAAAATAGAAACAGAAATTAAACCAGAGAGGCTTCTTAAAATGGCACCAACTTGGTTACTTATAATGGAGATTAATGTTTTGGAAAAAACAAACAGTGAGAAACTTGGGTATTTCTTATCAGCAGAGAAGCGAGGGAGGGCAGCAGGAGCAGAAACGCGTGCTTTAGCAAACAGAGGGCCCTCCGGCTGTGACAGTTAGCTTAGTGTTACCTAAGCACCGGATACATGCTGGAAACAATGGCCACATTTGAGTACTGTAACGTCCCTCCTGCATTTTTCATTAGAGCCACTCAACTCCCCCCTCTTCTCCCCCTCCATCCCTTGGACATGGTTCCTATCCATAACTATGCAGACGACACACAGCTTTACATCACCATGTCACCAGGTGACTATGAACCAATTCAAGCACTGAGGAAATGCTTAGAAGAAATCAATGCCTGGATGTGCCATAATTTTCTTCAACTGAATAAAAACAAAACTGAAGTAATAATCTTTGGACCAATAGAGGAGAGATCTAAAGTTAGCACACAGCTTCAGTCGCTTCAGCTAGTAACCACTGATCAGGCCCGAAGTCTAGGTGTAGTGTTGGATTCAGACTTGAACCTCCAAAAGCATTTAAAGACAATTACAAGGTCGGCTTTCTATCACCTGAAGAACATTTCCAGGATTAAAGGACTAATGTCTCAGCATGATCTGGAAAAACTAATCCATGCGTTTATTTTTAGTCGAATTGATTACTGCAACGGTGTTTTCACAGGTCTGCCTAAAAAGTGGATCAGACAGCTGCAGCTGATCCAGAACGCTGCTGCCCGTGTCCTCACTAAGACTAAGAAAGTAGAGCACATCACCCCAGTTCTAAAGTCCTTACACTGGCTCCCTGTATCTCAGAGAATAGACTTTAAAATACTTCTGTTAGTCTATAAATCTCTGAATGGCTTAGCACCTAAATACATCACAGACTTGCTATCAGTTTATCAACCCTCCAGACCACTCAGGTCTTCTGGCTCCAGCCTGCTCTGCATACCTAGAACCAGAACTAAACATGGAGAAGCAGCATTTAGTTCCTATGCTCCACTTATCTGGAACAAACTTCCAGAAAACTGTAAAAGTGCGGAAAGCCTGAGTTCCTTTAAATCAAGACTAAAAACACATTTGTTTAGGATTGCCTTCGACTGTTCCAGTTAAACAATTCAACAAAAACATGTTTTCTTTAATCCAACTGTTCTTAATATTCTTTTTTTTGTTTCTGCATTTTTTATTTTATTTGTTTTTTATTTTTTCCTACTTGCTTTGATTCAATGTTTTATTTTCCTGTATTTTAATCATGTAAAGCACTTTGCATTGTCTTTGTACTGAATTGTGCTATACAAATAAATTTGCCTTGCCTTGCCTATCCTTCTCTCCCTCCCATTGTTCCCGGTCCATGAAGCCTGAACGCTGCAGAGGTCATCACGGTGGCTCATGTGTCATCACCAGCGCTGCCAGGGGTCATTGGTTATTCAGCCGCAGCACTTGGACCAGGCTGAGGTGTGCAGTAAGCACAGCACGATGCTTAGCTCTTTTGTTGGTTGGAGTAAAACAGAAACTGGAGAAGGAACTGCAAACAGCGGTAAATGTTTTGACTCTCCATGTAGCTCCTGCAAATCAAATGAAAAATAATCTCTGCTCTTTATGCACAGTTCTCTTTATAAACTGCTGCAGATGCTGTTGATGGAATGTTGGTCAGATGTCGTGACCAGCAGCTCTGTCAAAGACAGAAGGACTACTACAATGGACCCCTTATTTGACCATTTTCCCGTTTATGAGGTTAAGAGCACATTTGCACATTTTTGGCGCCGTTCTACGAAGCACAATGTGCCATTATAACCATTGTGGATCAAATATGCTCCATGATTCAGTCTTAAGTTGTTCCATCTATAGTAAATATTGTAGATAGATACAATCTGTCGTGTCTCTAATGGTTTTCCTAAGGACTGCAACTGTGTTTTCAACTGTTAGCTTTAGGTGAGGCTTAGAAAAAGGATTCCTTCTTTGCTGAAGCATGAATAAATGAGACGTATTAACAGCTGTGATTGTGGTTCCATTGGGAAAATGTCCTTTTAATCCTTTAACCATTCTCTTATCTTTTACAATGGTACCTAAAGGTTATTTGTAGACCTGATCATTTTGGAGCAATTTTTTATTTATTTCCGTTGTGACTTTTCAGGCGAAAGTTACTTATGAAACCCTTGAGGCCTAAAAGGGTTTATAGGCTAAACTTGCATCTGTCTGTTAATAATCAAAAACATTAAAAGAACATTAAAAACATAAAAAAAAATTGTTTTTTTGTTTGTTTTTTTTACAATTGACATCTGAGTCAGATGTTGCTGCATTGTTTGGGGAATGTTGCAATATGCTAAATTTGCAATATATTTCCCCTTTAATTAAAAATGATAGTATGATGCCAACACGAGTAGACCTAATAAGTAGAGGCGTGGCTAGATGGGATGCAAGCCACGCCTACCAGGTGATCCAATGCGACTTATTTCACAAGCAGTTCCCCTCTAAACCAGAGGGTGGCAGCAGTGATACTGTCAAGTGGAATATTTTAATTGTTTGTGTACTAACAATCAGAGGTGGGTGGTAACTAGTTATATTTACTTAAAGGTATAGTGGAGGATTTTCATTCATTTTTTAGTAGACCCACCCTCTCCACATAAAAAAAAAAAATGCCCATGCACAACCCTGTACCTGCTCCAGAGAAGGAATGCCTATTAGACTCGTGGAGAGCGTGCATGACACCCATTTCTCCTCGTGCAAGCTTTGTTTAAAAAACTGCTGTCTGCATCGCTCATACAAGCTTACTTTCCAAAAGAAGATTTGCAAATGTTTCATAATGTCAGACTATCAACAGGTAAGTGAAAATGGGGACGAGCACATAGGACGGCCTTACGTAAACATATCATTAGAATGATTGACAGTTAGGAAGACCACCTATTTTGGATCCACCCAGAAAAAGAACACCCTCCACTATACCTTTAAGTGAAAATTTAAAGTACTTTTACTCTTACTCTAGTACTGTTTTTAGGTATTCTACCCAGCCATGTTAACAATAAACTCACAACAATAATACAGTATATTACTGACATTCACATACTAAAAGTGTAAATGATAAATACAGAATTAATGCTGTTTTCAGAACTAGTTTTTGTTTTTCGCAGGAGATAAGAGAAAGCCATGTGTCTATACATACTAGGAGTCCCCTATAGAGTTAGAGATAAATAGAAACTTAACCAATTGAATGTGCGTATTAGTATATGTATATTTTTTCAAATAATCCACTGGTCTACAACCCCCCCTTTCAGAGGCATAGACCAGTATCAGGTATTACAGGCTAACAAAGAACCCAAACGACTCCCCATTCCTAAGGGGTGGACCCATTCTTCTGGTTCAATTTGCATGTTTTCTAAGCCAAAAACTGTTTTTTGGGACAGTCTATAAAGCTTTGAACTCAAAGCTAATTCTGACATTTTGAATTGAAAAAAATTCCTGGATGGGAAGCAAAACATCTTCAAACCTGGAAACAAAGTCCAGTGGATTGTTTTTTGTAATGACTACGATCTGGATGACTGAGAATCTTCACCAGCATATTATGCAAGACAATTATTGATAAAAATAAAGTGGACAATTTTTCCAGAAATGTATTTAAGAAATAACTAAATAATAATTTAGTTTCTGAATAACTGCATATGTGTACGACCCAGAGGCGTAGCCAGAAAATTTTAATGTGGCCAGGCAATAACCAGTGTACGCTGAGGGTTGGCCAAAAGCGAATAGGCCCCAGAACCTCAAGGTCAATCTACACTGTTCCAAAAGGAAGGACCACAATATCCATATTTTCTAAATAAAGACTACCGGTAACTATACTTTTCACAGCCTTTGGTAACAAATAGATGCATATATTTAAACATCCGTGCTTTCTAAATTAAAGGTGTAGAGGACAAAACTTCTGGGGCAAACATCTCCATTGTCATTACTTACCTGCTTTTACCAAAAGTTGTTCTGCATAAAATGTATATTTATATGTACTAATATCTACATTAAAGGGTTTTTTAAAGTTATTATTAAAGTAGTTATTTATCCAGGATTTCACTGAAGTCTCCTATATGACTTGAAGAGACATCATTTTCTCTTTACCTCATATAACACAAAAATCTAGTTCGGAAAAGAGCATGGATTCTGTATATATCAACTTTTAAAGTTAATATGTTGATGTGCATTAACACAGTGTTTTAGTTGTCAAGTAGTTGTAAATATATGAAAAATTCAAATGTTTATTAAGTTTGAATATTCCTCTTGAGTGTATTACAGCTGCCACCGTCAGTATTAGAGGGCGAAAAAAAAATGGTATGGGTGGCCACAAGGGTGGCCACTGATTGGCTGAGAGTTGCCATGTTCCCCTTTGGCCCCCCAGCCTGCTCCGCCCCTGGTACGACCTTCCTAACTACTCTTCCTCCACCATGAGAAAAAATCTCCCAAATACAGTCTCTATATTTTTTTCCTGTTCTTCTAAGGTATTACTCTTCTTCTTTAAAACTTGCTGGCCTTTTTTTTGGGGGGGACTATCAGCAATTCTCAAAGTATACAGCATGAGCTATAGCTGGCTGAAATCAAAGCTAATTAGATACATAAATCCTAGAAGTGTGATGCACAGAAAGAGCTCGTCATTGATAAGATGATCCCCCTGGAACTGGAAGGGGAAAAAAATAACATCAATTATACCTTTCATTTAGACAGCATGGATGTCTAAATGAAAATGATAATCCACTGGTCTACAACCCCCCTTTCAGAGGCATAGACCAGTATCAGGTATTACAGGCTAACAAAGAACCCAAGCGACGACAGTGTTTTAGTTGTCAACTAGTTGTTAATATATGTAACATATGTTACATATATTAACAACTAGCAACTTAATATATGTAAAATTCAAATGTTTAATAAGTTTGAACATTCCTCTTGAGAGTATTACAGCTGCCGCATCTATATTAGAGGGCGAAAAAAATGGTAGGGATGGCCAGTGTTTGGCTGAAAGTGGTCATGGCCACCCCTGGCCCCCCATCTAGCTCCGCCCCTGGTACGACCTTCCTAACTACTAAGGAGAGAAGTGTTCTTCTAAGGTATTACTCTTCTTCTTTAAAACTTTTTTTTTTTTTTGGACTACCAGCAATTCTCAAAGTATACAGCAGGAGCTGTAACTGAATGAAATCAAAGTCAAAGCTAACTAGATACATAAATCCTAGAAGTGTGATGCACAGCAAGAGCTGGCCATTGATAAGCTGATCCCCCTGGATCTCGAAGGAAAAAAAAAACTTTAATTGTACCTTTAATTTAGACAGCATGGATGTGTATATATATTAATTTATTTATTAGCAGTGACTTCAGGAAAACCAAGTTTCTCTTTATGTATGGGCGTTGTGCTTGTTCATTTTCCTGTTGGTAAAGAGTAGATTAACCTTGAACTGATTCTGGCAACTCTCCGTACACACTGGTCCCTTCCTGGCCACCCTTATAAAAATGTCCCTCCTTCAGGTGCTCTACGTTTAAACTGCGTCAGCTGACCCTCATTCCATCTAATTAGCTTATCTCCTTCAATAGTACCAATCTACCAGCCCAGCCTCAGTATCTATACAGGATATGGATTCTCTTATTATCTAAATGGACTCTCCTCTGCCTCCAGCTTCTCTATTTTCTCCATGTTCTTTGTCCAGTGTTCATGCTTTACTCCTGTGTCTGTTTCATCAAAATATAGTTGTGCCTTCCTGTTTTAAAGCTTTTAAAGTTTCAGATAAGGGCATTGCTAAATTATCCATTTCAACAAAAACAAGGCAAAGACTGATGGGATTTTATGTTACAGTCTAACAATATCAAGCTTTTTTTGTGTCTATCATGTGATGTTAATATTCGCTAGTGTAGCTTTGTTTGCCTTGGGCATTAACATTTTGAGTTTGAACCGTTTTCATTTGTTCCAAAGGCTGTGATTGTGTAAATATGTCTAACGATATTAAGATTTCCTCTTTTCTTCACTGTGATGTGACCAAGTTTTACAGAAGTTTAGAAAATCAGAGCTGTTTGTTAATTCATGATCCAAAGGATGACAGTCTGCTTCTTTAGACTGCTGTTGGTGCAGTGAGCACTGTCCCAAGTTGAGCCTAGAAACATTGTGATCAGAATTACTTTAAGAGACTGCAGTTAACTTTTGCAGATTGCTGTAACCCTGTTTGAACTTGCAATATTGGAAGCATGTAATAAAAGCAGGATGATCCCTTTCAATCTCTCACCGATCCACATATGGAGGTCGGCTCCCTCCTCGCCCCGATTCTCCAGCACCAAGTAGGAGTCCCCATTAAAAAAGGCTCCGACCTCAGAGGGATCCAGCTTCACCGCCTTCATCTTCTCCACCCTCCACACCCAAAGACCTGGGTCTCGGACCTCTGGCCCAAACTGGCCTGGCGCTGGTTTGAACGGGAGCATTCTGCTAGGAGAGAAGAGACTGGTAAGGTGAAGAAAGGGGAAAGAGGCTTATAAGTGAAGCTTCGTGATGGTCATCTGACGGGTGAATCACACCTAAAGGAGAAGTCTAAATACTTGGCTTTGAGTTATAGTTTCTGTTAGGAGAAATGTAGTAGGTAAAAACAGAGGAAATGAAAGAGGAAGCTAAACCTAAAAGTCAATTCTTAGCGCTCAATGAGACTCAGAAAACAGACCTCCACAATCAGATAAACAGACATGCTACTTGCATTCTTCTAACTCACATCTGTTATTGCAATAGGAAAATAACTGCAACACTTTCAGATGCTAAAATTAAAACTGGGCCAAACGACCGCAAGCAAATGTGTTTCCTGGTTACTGATGATCTATCTTATTTCTACCACTGATTTGATCTATATTACTCGATACCATCTCTCTACCTCGCATCTAATGTCATTTTAGAACTAAAGCACATTTTAACATAAGTAAAATGTTAAAAATTGGGTGTTTATTATTAAAGTAAACCAACTGCAGTAAAGAAAACGACACCAGCATGTAAAATGTGTTTAATAAGTAATAATTAATTGTCAGACTGTGGTGAAATGCCAGTAAATTTAAAGTTAAAGGTGTTAATTTATTTGTTATTACTGCTTTTTGTAATGTTGTAACCATACAAATCGAAATAATAAAGCACACCGTGCAGCAAAAATCTGATCCCTTTTACTCATGCAGGCCTTACTAAAGTTAACTAAAACTAACCCCGCTGCACATCCAGAAGAGAACGGTGCTCTGGTCAGGTGGGACCAATTGTAGTTTTTTATAGCCTATATGTAAAACATTACATATGAAGAGAAGAACGAAACCTGCACATCACCCTTAACACACTAGAAAACATGGTGGTGGGAGCATCATGCTGTGGTAATGTTATTCCTTTGCAGGAATAGAGAAGGTGGTTAAATTTAAGAGAGAAAATGGATAACTTTAGAAAGATTAACATTTAAAAATCAAAAGAACTGAGACCAGGCAAGAGGAGGAAGTATAGACACAGAGCGTGGCAAAATGAATACAGACCACAAAATAACACCACGTATTAATGTCCTGCTGCTGTACTATTATGCACTAAATTGTGTTGTTCTGATTCAAAAATCTCAATAAATACAATGAAGTTTCTGAAAACATGACAAGAGATGGATGGAGTTTTTTTTATCAGAGGCAAAAACGCAAACAATTGGTAAATTTACACATGAGGGTCCAACTTTTGTTTCTTTTCCTACATCTTCTGGTCCTCCCCAGATGGGGGAGATACTGTAAACATACTGTAAATGTGCCAACATGTTTATGTTAATGACATGGATAATAAGATAAAAGAGATTACACATCCTTGTATACATCTCTCTCTATCCGTCAAAGTGATATCATGCATATCGAAACAAGAGAGAACCACATTGGAAAAACTATCAAGAAATAAGTAGAAATTTCTTAAATTACCGAAAGTGTATTTGCCCTTAATTTGAGTTAGTAAATTAGAAAGTTTGCCAATGGAATGAATATTTTTACTCTTAAAATAAGATAATTAGATAATATACACTTGAAATAAGAGAATGCAATTGTGTTTTCTTATTTTAAGTGTAAATTGTCTTGTTCCATTGGCAATATGTCTCTTTTACCTCCTCAATCAAAGAATAAATGCACTTATTTTAAGAAAAAATAACTTATCTAGATTTCGATTTTTTTCCAGTGCACATAGATGTTTTGCACATAGCTGCATCGATGATTCCCAATTCTAATGTTCAAAACATTCACCGTGTTTTCAGATGTTTTGGCAGCACTTCCTGCCATTTTTTAAACACATAACTGGCAGAGTGTTGATGCTGTTTAGCATTCCAAGATGATGTTTTCTGTTTGACTGTTTCTGTACTGCACAGCTCAGGAACCAAAAGCAACCAGTAACAGCATAGTTGTGGTTTCCTTTTAATCAGTTTTTTTTCTTTTCACATGATAGTATCAGTTTTACACGCACCATAACTGCAAATGTCTTTTCTCATGTCTTATAAAATCAGAATCAGATAAAAATTTAGCTCACAAACAAACTTCACATGAAAGTGTGAAGTTTGTGCACACAACCAAGGAATTTACGTTTGGTTCCTTTTTGACCTCTGCTGTCATTTTAAGGGAAATATGAATATATAAAAAGGATGAAGGTTATTTTTATCAATGTAGGTATTTTTACAAAAGAGGAAGACATGAATGGGAGGGGTTTGAGTTTCCTAATTACCCTAGGAGCTATGCTGTCAGGGGTTTTATGCCCATAGCGGGGTCACCCAAGGCAGACAGGTCCTAGGTGAGGGACCAGACGAAGAGCAGCCCAAAGACCCCTTATGATGAGTAAAACAAATAGATGTAGTGTTCCCTCGACTGGATGCGAGTCCTGGAGGCCCCACTCTGGAGCCCGGCCTGGAGGTGGGGCATGCTGGCGAGCGCCTGGTGGCCAGGCTTTTACCCATGGAGCCCGGCCGGGCGCAGCCCGAAGAGGAAACATGGGTTCCCCTTCCAATGGACTCATCACCTGGGGCCACAGGGGTCGGGTGCATTGTGTGATGGGTGGCAGTCGAGGGCGGGGACCTTGGACTTCTGATCCTTGGCTGTGGTGGAGGAATTTAATTATCTTAGGGTCTTGTTTACGAAAGAGAGAAAGATGGAGTGGGAGACCGACAGGAACCGACAGATTGGTGGGGGTGCTGTACCGGTCCGTTGTGATGAAGAGAGGGCATAGCCAAATGGCAAAGGTCTCGTTTTACTGGTCAGTCTACGTTCCTAACCTCATCTATGGTCATGGGCTTTGGGTCATGACCGAAAGAATAACATCCCGGATACAAGCGACCGAAATGAGTTTTCTCCCTTAGAGATAGGCTGAGGAGCCCAGTTATCTGGGGAGGACTCAGAATAGAGCCGCTGCTCCTCCACATCGAGAGGAGCCAGTTGAGGTGGCTCGGGCATCTGCTTAGGATGCCTCCTGGACGTCTCCCTGGTGAGGCCTTACAGGCACGTCCCAAAGGGAGGAGGCCCAAGGGGAGACCCAGGACACGCTGGAGGGACTGTGATTCTCGGCTGGCCTCGGAGCACCTTGGGATTCCCCTAGAGGAGCTGGCCCAAGTGGCTGGGGAGAGGGACGTCTGGGCCTCCCTACTGAAGCTGCTACCCTCACGACCCAACCCCGGATAAGCAGAAGAAGATGGACAGAGTTTATGTCCAGGGTGTGTGGGATTCTTTTCCTTATCCCTGGTTTGTACAAGTCACACGTTAAAGGGTGGATTTTCTTCAAACATTTCTCTGTTTTTGTCATGTATTTTCATCAGGGCAGCAAATAAATGTAGGGGCCGTTATATGTTTTTCAGTATTTTATTAATAGAAATAAAATTATGATCATGCTGTTAAAAGCAGTCGTAATAACTCCCCTGCAGAGTCATAGTTACCATATTTAGTCAGTCTTACAATCAGTAATTACAGCTGGGTTTACAGAGAACACCTTTAAATAAACACGTAGGTGGAGAACTCCCAGCAATAACTGTCACTATAAAAGTTGGAACTTTATGGCTGAGTTTTCTTTTACCAAAAATAGTGCCAGTCATCAACCATAAACAAATAAGGAAGGACTGGTAACGTGATGTTTTTCTATATTTAAATTCTGAATCATATAAAGACAGGAACACATAATTATTTAGGTGGAAATTTGAGAGATTACTTAGAACTGGTTATCTTATTGCTATCAACTTTGTGTTCCGGTGAACAGAATGCCACTAGAGCTCCACCCTCCCTCGCTTATCACTGACTAAAACAACCAAGGCGTAAAGTGAATATATGAAATAAGGATGACAGAGAAGGAGCATTAGGACAAAAAGAGCAGGGAAACAGAGAGGGCCCTGAAGCAGGAAATACAAAAGGCCCCTGGGTTAAGGTTACAGTGCTGTAAGAGCCACTGTAAGAATAAAAACAGAAGGCCCCTCTCCACTTAACTGTATGATCTCCTCTGGTGCCTCCGGCATGCTGTTTGTTTCCAGCTCCATTCTCTGTGCCCGCTGAAGTGTGTGTTTGTTTGTCGTGTTTGCAAAGCTGTGATGTACCAGGCGGCCTGCTGCGTAGGAGTGTTTGGGCTCACCTGGTCCGGTTAGCTTATATGTGGGAGGAAACTGGAGCTGCGGTGATGAAAGCCTACCTAGCCTGTGGATTGGGAGCCCAGCATGCATAGAATTGGGGGGGAAGAATCGGGTTCCTGGATCCTGGCTAAACTAAATTGATAATTACTGTAAGAGCAAGCTCGTCTGTCTCTTTTATCATTTTCTTTTTCCACACTTTACCAAGATGAAGTTACAGGCCTCTTTAGAAAAATAGCCCAATAAAATATTTTTTCCCTAAAGCTGCAGTTGGAAGGAAATGTGCCAATTCTGTTTAAATATACCTAAAATTTTGATTATCCTTAAGGATAAAAAACTTAATTTATGGCAAATGAACAATCCACCACTCACAATCTAGTCCTTTGAAATGAAGCAGTTGATTGAGACTAATCTTTGCAGGGAAACACCTTTCTGTCCTACATGAATGATTAGGTTTACACAGTAAGTGCTAAGGATTTAATAATACACTGATTAAATCAGTGGTTCCCAAAGTTGGGTGCACAGCCCCTCTGGGGACCTAGTGTAATTGCGGGGGCATTTAAAAAATGACCTTTCTGAGAGGTTGGTTTGTTTAAAAAGGGCGAAAAAATAGATCCCGAACTGTGTTACACAGTAAAATTGAAAGTTAACCTGCAAAAAATGACACTTTAAAAGTAGTGCTTTTGGAATTAAAAGGAGATTGTTGGTTTTCTTTTTTTTTTCTGGGGGGCTGACCACTGGATTAAATAATAACAATCCAATTACATTGATTGGAAACAATGAATATATCAAATCACACCACAATCTTTAAGTCAAAAGACACAAGACAATAACGGCAAGGTGATCCATCCTTATCAACATTTCTAGAAGAATGTTGTTTTTACATTTAAATGACCTTTAGAGCTTAGAAATGTATAGTCTTATCATATTTTAGCTTTTTTTGTTTTTGTTTATATCTATGTAAATAATTATCTTAGATAAATATTGCCTCAAATCATTCCCAGACCTGGAAATTAGTTGAAACTGTGTCGCGACAGACTTTGTAATATCGATAATCCAGGGCTGTCAACTCTCACCCATTGGGAGTGAGACTCACCCATCTAAGTGTCTTCTCACACTCTCACTCCATATTCCAAATTTCTCACACTAAAAAATAACAGACGTTAAAACTTAATTCTGTTCCACTTATTTATGTATAAAAATACCATGGTGATCAAAACCCAGTCCGCGTTTTTAATACAACCCTAGTGCTAACACACAAGGACCATGTTTCGCTCACAAGTTAAATAATTATTGCTCAGTCTAATTTAATAATCTCCCATTGGCATTTAGGAGTAATTAAACCATTACCAATATTTTATTTCTTAAAACTTCCAGGTTTGCTTCTCAAACTTATGGAGAAAATAAAAATAAAAAGAACCATTGCATTTTATTTTTCAAAAGATCAGCCACCCAAGAAAAGACACATCCAGAGAGGGTGTGCAGAACAACTCAGTTATCCTGGATTCATAGAGGAAAAACCACAGGGATATTCTTCTTTTATTACTACTTATCTTATTCATTTATCTTTATTTTGGTCCATTGAATATGTTTAAAACTTAATTTCCATCACACCTTTCAAATGAAACATTCAGAGAAATGCCTTCTCCTGTCATGATGATTTTTTATAAAATCTACAGCCTCCTAGAAGGTCTGAATGGTTTAGCTGTTTTGTGAATTGTAAGATTGATTGTAACTAATAAAATAATAAATGAAGCTTTTTTAATCCTTAGCCTATTACCTAATGTTCACACACAGTGTAGTTTGCAAAAGTTTCGATTGCTCTGGTTCCTGTATCAGTGCCAGTAATCCAGTAAGAGCTTTTTAGTTCCCCATTGTTGAATTTACTTGAACTGCAGAGAATAATTAATGAACAAAGTTGTGAAATTCTTAGTTAAAAGTATATTTAAGATGCAAGTATTTTAGTAGGGCCCATTCTGCTTTACTTCAATTCTCTAAAAATCACCAGAATGTAGAAAATAATTTATATCGTCAGAAAAATGTTAGACATAAGTACAGACCACTTTTTTTTACTCAGTAAAAATTACTGTAATATATATATATATATATATATATATATATATATATATATATATATATATATATATATATATATATAAAAGAAAAATGAACAAAACTTCAACCTATAACTGCACCTATCCTCATCTAACCCTGACAGGATTTCCTCCAAACTATTGCAAAATCTCCCCCCCAAGGTTTGGTGAAAAGTTGTCAGCCCTGATAATCACTGTACCGCCATGCAAACACATCGGAATGTGATTAAAGCTAGAGACTTACACCCCCAATAAGTACCATAGGAACTAATAACTAAAACAAAGGTCCACAAATCAGGCATGTACACAGCCTTGCACTGGATCCTTCATACTAATTCTGTAACCACAGGATCAAAGCCGGTAGTTTTGTTCCAGCGTAACTGCCCAGCTCTGGATGAGGCAACATTAAAAACATGTTGTAACCAGTTGAGTTTTTTTAGACATGCAAGTTTACAATAAGGCCTCTCGAGATTGTTCATATCCTGTTCACTTTTTATTTTATTTTGTTGCAATACAACCACAAATCTTATGTGTTCGATCAACACAAAGAGGTGAATTAGTACGATGTGGATGGATGATGATAGGATAAATGTATACAGACAACTTTTACTGTAATAACCCTACATAAAATGCAGTCCAACCAATTCACCTCAGCAAATAGCATCATCCTGCAGTTTGGTTGTTTTTTTCAAGGACGTAAATGTTTCTATGTGAAAATGAATGAACAAACAGCACAATAAAAAAGATCAGGTGGAATGTGAGAGCAGGGTTAAGCTTGAAAACCATTTAAATGCATCTAAAATGGAAACACTGAGTTTCCCGGATACACTGACAGCTTCCCGAAGGAGGGCATTATCAGAGTAGAGGCCTGCACTGCAAAACCATTCTGAAAATGATGAACAATTTCTTAAAATAAGTGTATTTCACCCTTAATTTGAGTAGGCAAATAAAATGAAAGAGCATTTTTATCCTTGAAATAAGATACTTAGATATTATGCTCTTGAAATATGAGATCGCAATATTTTTTTCTTATTTTAAATGTAAATTGCATTGTTCCATTGCAAAGTATCTCATTTACCTGATCAATTGAAGAAAAAAACACTTATTTTAAGAAAGATTGACTTACTGAGAGTTACATTTTTTGCAGTGTTTAACTCTTGAGGAGCTACAGAGATACAATGATCAGGTGGGACATTCTGTAAATGGACCCCCACTGAGCGCTTCACAAACCTGACCTGATGCAGGAGAAGAATATCATCGCAGAAAGTTCTTAGTTTAGACATGGATGATGATAATAGATTGAGGAAAAACTTGGAAGAAAACCCTAAAGTTTTAGAGTGGGGCGGAGGTTTGTGTTCCACCTGGACAGAAAACCCTAACAAATAAAGCCAGAGGTATCAAATGGAGCCTGTCAGTGTGTTAGAATAGCCTATAGGCAAAGTACAATGAAGGAATTATTCCAACAGTGATGTTCACATATCAGTCTCTAGTTGTCTAAAGGTAGAACAGACATATAATCAACACAGGGGGGAATTATAGAAATGTTAAAGGGGGCTGAAAACAAATAAACAGAACAGTATTAACTCACCACTTGACTCCTAAAGTAGATTGGTTGTACTAAATTTAATTTCAGATATCTATTTAGAAAAGGTTTTCCAACCAAAGTATAATTTTCAATCTTTTTTTTTTTTTTTTTACCAGTTAGTACTACTTTGTGTTGGTCCATCACATAATATAATCAAAACAGGACAAAATGTAAAAAACAAACAAAAGACAAAAACAAAGAGTAGAATCACATTGGAAATGCAGTGACTAATGTGACATCCTTTTCACTCGAGGATAAACTGAAGGTAATTTAATCTTTAATCTAATCTATAACTGCCACTTAATCAGTCGGTGTACATGGCAGGAACAGAGGCTGCTAATGTGGGTTTGGATAACGGCACAGAGAGGAGAGAAAAGATGAAGACTCTGGTTAGATGAAAGAAAGGGAAACCATTCAGGTGCAGAGCCCAGGGTGCAGATTGGCTGCAGGGCTCATTAAACCAATCAGTCATTCAGTTCCTGCAAAGCAGACAGCAATATGAGAGCAGACAATGTGAGCAACAGGCGTGGAGAGACCTGAGATTGAGTGGAGAAATTAAAAACGCCCCGAGTTTGGTTAAGATTTAAATGTACAGGACAGAAAAACAAATGGTAACGTAAGAAAATTGTTAAAAACCACAAACATAAAAGTGAGAACCAAAGCTTCCTGCTAACTCTAAGGAAGTTGTAAAACCCCTTCAAGTATGATGACGCGTATGAAATAAGAGAAGGAAAAGGTGGCACATAAAGAAGGGTTTTCCCCACTGATTACATTTCTTATTTCCTTTCTTGCTGGGGATGGCTAATGGGCAGGGTGGGCAAAACCAGGCTGAAACAAAACAAAAGCTTTTTTTTCCTGCTCTGAGATTCCTCAGCTGCTTTCAGGAGAAGGAGTTAGATAAGAGCAGAGGAGTAATAGGAGAAGAGTTAGAAAAACAAAGAAAACAAAGTAGGAAAAGAAAGTGAATAAAGCAAATAGAAATATGTCAGACTTACCTAGAATAGGGGGACGGAGCTGGGAGCAAACACGTCTGAGCAGTGAACAAGGAGGAACCCAGAAGAAACAAGTCCTTAAACACACACACACACACATTCACAATGATTTCCTGTCTCAGTCTGTGGTCGTGTAAAGCCCAGCCCTCTGAGGCAACCACAGAAATTTGAAGAAACAGCTGAAATTTCCTCAATTTAGAGCCAAAACTGAGAGAAATACTTAAAGGTGAACCATATTTGTTTTGGAAAATCATCACCACCGTTCAGCTCGACCAAAATATCAAACAGATGCAACAACCTTTACATTTTAATCAAAAAAGTCTGTTGTGGTACGAACAAAGAATCTGCATTTTGCTTCCAACAACTAGAACATTGTCATCAAATTGTGAAAAGACTCTTTTTCAGTTTATCTACTGTTTGTACGTTTCACCATAGAAACAAGGCGAAACATATATTAGTCATCTAGACATAGAGACTGAGGACACACCCAGCACAGGAGTTTGCAAGATTTATTTAGGCTTTTACTATGAGTCCTCTTGCACCATTTTACCTGTCTAAACTTGTATGGAGAGCTCTGGTTTAGCTTTCTTTAACTGGGAAAAAAAGAAACCCAAAAAGGCTAAGACACAGGATGTCCTTAAAAATATCAAAAGTGGCCTATTCTATTCCTGATAGGAAGGTGAAAGGATATTCTAACCAAATATGTATGTTTTGTTCCTTAAACTCCAGAACAATCCTGATATTCTCAATAAAATACTAATTGGGTCTAAAAAAAATCCGATCCTGTTTTTTCATCTTAAAAAACTGCAACTAATTCAACCCACTTTGAAGCTGGATTATGATGGAAGCTCAATTTTTCATACAAGAGAAAAAATAAAAAAAAAAATTTTAAGTCATCTAAAATCATTATGTTTTTTTATCCAGGGCCTGGTCACGGAGGCAGCAGTCCAAGCAGAGATGCCCAGACTTTCTGATCTACACACACCTCCTCCAGCTGCTCTGTGGGGGACCCCAAGGGAACACCAGGCCAGATTAGAGACATAGTCCCTCCAGCTTGTCCTGGGCCTTCCACCAGGCCTCCTCACAATAGGACATGCCTGGAAAACCTCCTGAGGAAGGCATTTGAAATAAATGCCTGAGCCAAACAGGCTGGTTAAATTTCTGATAGTGAAAAAACTGTTGCGTGTCATTTTACACAGTGTACTCTTCTGAATTCAACTGTATGTTGCTGAGGAGAATCAGTGACGCTCTCAGGGAAAAGGCCATGTGTAAAAGGGTGTTACCCAAGCAGTAAAAAGCGCAGTGCCACTTCCCCGCCTGGGAAACAGACTTCCTTAATGTTAGCCCGAGAGAGAAATCTGAAAAGTTATACTTTAACTTGAGACTTAGGTCTACGTAAGAAGGTGTAGCAGAAATGACATAACTTTTTATAGGTTTTAAATGGTTTAAATCTTGGTTTAAAATTTTGTTGATATTTATAGAAAACAAAATTAAAGCAACAGCCAGTCGATTCAAATCATTGTGGGTTAGTTCTGCAATGCTTTGCTATGCTAAAGAGTTTAAGATGAATTCCATGAGTAGAAAGGTTCTCAGGCCCTGTTACTGTAAAGACAAGCCCTCGTCATCACTCCTCTTCAGCTGTGCTTGACAGCTGCTCTGAGGTTTTCATGCTGACTTTTTTTGTCTAAATAGGACCACATATCATGAAAAACAAACTCAAATCTGAGTCCAAAACAAGTTCAAGAAGTATTGTGATTATATAGTAGTTATGTTAAAATTTAACATGCTACATGAGGGCTTTAAAAGGACTGTGTAATATTAGAAAAATGCATAATATTCGAAAAATGTGCAATAAAATGTATATTCATCTTGCTTATGATAAAGAAATGAATTATCAAGTGTCATGTTTTTGTGTTTTTGGTTTATAGAAAATAAAGTCTCTTCACAATGAGTAAAAGAATAAAAAAACTGTTTTATTAAAAATAAAAATCTGTCCAGCCTTTCCTCTATTGAACCTGGTCACTTCTCAATCTCTTGATCATGATTTGGCTGTCTGGACCAAAGTACAGACAAATTCTTGGAAGCCTTAGTCAGCAAAGACTAACAGCAAGCTGACCATCTAAATAGGGCAGGGCACAGGTGCAGACAGTGAGTAAACAGGTGAACGGCATTTACTAATTAGCTGGTGGGAAACACACAGGTCAGATTTAGAAAATTAGGACAAATAAAAACTGAGAGTAAGTTGTGGGGTAAATATCTGTTTTTCATTTCAAAATGAAACTGTGAGTAACTCTGTGAACCAACTCTGCTTGGTAGCAGGATATTTTTTTTTTATTATGCCGAGTGCTTTACCATAACGAATAATAATTCATATAGAGTTCTACTTGTAGATGCTGAAATTTGCCAGATACCTATCTCACAATTGGATTCCATCACTCTCAAAATATGCCTTGCACAAAATAAGGATTTAAGTATTAAAGTAAATATCTCTATGATAACAGAGACCAACAGGGGCTAAGACAGGGGCTAAAGTTGTAATACTAGGAACGGTGCAGCTGTCTCCTCCAAAGTAAATAAAAAAGACAAACAAGGATTAGTAGACCAACATATACTCAAGATTAAAATATTAGACATTAGAAATCAAACAAAACAAAAAACAGCATAATAAAACATTAAAGTCTCTGGAAGTAAGTCTGAAATTAAATGACTTGCATACAAAGGAACTCCTGGTTCTTTAATAGAAAGTATTATGAACAGACTAACTGGTATTGCTCTTATCACCATAGTGATCATAGTGATTTTTTTAAATTTACACATATATATATATATATATATATATATATATATATATATATATATATATATATATATATATATATAAAAATATATCTTCCTCACCCATAATCATTATACATGGTTATATGAACCATTATACAAGAGACAAGCGGATGCCAGCAGTGAATGAGGACATTATAAATAAGAAAACAAAGGGAAAACTAAGTGAATAAATTCAAACCTGTTAAACCTGTCAAGAACATATTTTGTTTTAACTGCTTTTTGGTTTTCAAGTTCCTTTGTAATAATTTTGTTTCAGCTTTCTCTCTGAATTAAATCAGGTCTTCAATCAAAGGGTCATTATTTCCTGGACAGCTGATTGGCTGCTGTTTGGAGCAGGTTCAGATCAATCATTAAAGTTAGCCTGCCCTGGAGCAGGTTTCCAGTTCAGGATACGTTACCATAGTAACTAGTCTTACTAAGAATAAATCCAGCTTCATGGTACCGGAAAGTAAGATTTGAGGCTAAAGTTGTCTAACACAGTAATCCTGCTTGGTGGTACAGGTCTATGGATCACATCACTTTTCTTCAAAATTCTAATTAACACTCGACTTTTCACTTTAAATCTATAAACAGAAAAAGTTATAAAATCATTGTAGTCTAAATTAAAACAACAGCAGAGAATATGGTTACAAAAAAGCATTATATACAGCCGCATGTAGCTGGTGTAAGGAAATATTTTTGAAGGTAAAGATTGATTAAACTACAGACCTTGAGATCTTATGGAAATGTCTGCTAATTACATATTATTACTCATAGTTGACATCCTATTTTACACATATGCAAATAAAAATTACCTCACATTTAATTATCTTTGTCTCCAACTTTTTAAAGTACATTAATTGCAACATTACCCTGCTCATTTGCTAACAGATAGTTCCTCAATTATTCATAATCATTTACAAAACTGCAACTGAATAGTTTTTAAAAGGTAAATAGATAATTTATGAAAGTATTGAGCCCAACATGGCTGGGCAAGTTAAATTAGAAATAAAGGCTAGATTAAGGCTAATCTAACATGGCAGGGAAATATGATCTATTTACCTTTTAGAAATGGTTCAGACAGGCCTACAGTTTATAAATGATTATCAAACATTGATCAACTTTTTGTTTATCACTAATAAATTGTCTCTTTAGAAATGATGGTTATTGTAAAGTATTACCAATAAAAAGTTGAGAGCTAACATGTCTACTGTATTTACAATAAAACAAAACTAATTATATATTTCAATGTGATACATTTAAATTGTACATTTTATATTTTCTCCTGCCATCTGGTGGCCATAGAAAAAACAGCATGAAGGCATTCTCAGCCTCAGCCTTAAAACTTAAAAAAACAAAGCAAATGCACTGGTTAGGTTTATTGGAAGGTTAGGCAGTTTGTCATAAAGCTGCAGCGCCACCGTGTGGCCACTTGTCCGTTGTGCGCTGCTTGTTCTTTGAGAGAGGCAAGGGGGTGGTATTATCTGGTAAGTTGTTTAAAAAAAACTATGGTGTACTGGTAAATTAAGATTTTAAATCCAGACCTCACCACATACCATGTAAAAAAAAAGAAAAAAAGAAAAAAAAAAAGACTTTGGAGGGCAGTTATTGATAAAGAAGACAAAAAAGGTAGGCGCTCCAACCCCATAAGGTCCATCTGTGTACATCCCTGATGAATGTTAAAACTTAGAATAAAAAAGACAAAAAAACATTGCATCAAAGCAGTGGTGTTTCTAGACCAAATTTACCAGGAGGGCCAAAGTGGGACCAATATTTTTCATGGGTACACAGAACAAAAGTGTGAACAAAAAAGCTAGTTGCAGAAAAGTAGGGGTGCACTGAATTATTGGCCCTGATTGCCCTAATTTGGGGAGATCTGTGGTTGTCTGATTCTTAAAAGTGATCATCATCTACCTTTGCAAAGGTCTATAAAAACAGCCACTTTCATTGCTCTAAACTTTTTATTTATATTTGAAAAAGTTATCTTGTGCAGATAAAAAATTTTGTTAGACAGCCATGGTTTTTATTTGGGAAAAAAGATTGAAACACTCTTTTTAAAGAATTTTGTTATATATCAAAAAAATAAATCAAAATTGCCATGTCAGGCTTTTTATAGATCCACTATTAAATTCCAGTCGGTGCTCCAATAAAACCATGATCCTAAATCAGTGCATCTGAAGCTCAAGTGTAATACCTCCAGCTTTTAAGATCACTTAAAAGTAAAAAGGTAAAACGATTGAACAGGTCCAAGAGATCAATTAATGACAGTTTCTGTGTCAACACATATAATCATAAGAAATGCATCCAGTATTATATCATTGGCGCAGGGT